TCATGTGGATAATCGATCATGTGGGAGCCTCCAAAAGAAGTAGATCCAAGTTTGAATTATGTCATGGCATCATCTATTATTGCGTAATCCGTATTATATATCATCATGTAACGGACACATGCAAAAATGTCAACCTTTTATATTCAAGTAATATATAAGTGTGTAATTCATGAATAAAAAATTATTCAAAATATGAGTAGAACACGGAAAAAGTTCTGGAGTATAATTAAATATATTTATGAGTAATAGTAAAAAAAGAGTAAAAATATTCATGAGTAAAACACTATATAAGTCCTATTTTTTAATATGAAATTAATGGTATTCTTATTTAGGGAATTTTCTCATTCCGAAAAATCATTTTTTTTTATAAAGTCAATTTAATTTGTAACTCCACGTATGTGAGGGATTGTAACTCCACTTCTTTAAAAAAAATCTGGTAAATGTTCCCCGACATTTATTGCACTTCCACAAGTGCTTATTTCGGGACAAAAAAAAACTATTTCCGGCTCTCTGTTTCTCAATTTCTGCAATGCCAGGGTCGGCAAAGCCATCAGATTCATTCTATCTTACAAGGGTAAATTTTAATTGTTTTTCTATTTTATTCGGAATAAATAAGCCTTATTCTGAAAATGATAACTAATCATTTTAGTAAAATTGATAGATGTTCTATTCCAATTGTGGGTCATTTTTTAAAACTATATTTTTAAGATTTATGAATTTTGAACGATAATTAAATTATTTTATCTATGATTTTAATGCACTAAATCTGTGTAACACTTGAGATTTAATATAAACGGATTAATAGTACTACTCATACTAACAAAGGTGCATCTCCTTTTAAGAGAGCTCATTACCTAAGAACTCCAAAGTTAAGCGTGCTTGCTCGGGAGTAGTCTTGGGATGGGTGACCCCCTGGGAAGTTTCTCAGGGCGCGCATAAGTGAGGACAAAGTGCGCGGTAAAGGCTCGTGGTGGTTTGTGAGGACAGTACTATTGGTCCGGAGTAACTACCTCGGGTCTGGTGGGGCCGGGGTGTTACAGGTGGTATCAGAGCAACCCCGCGACAGTGTGATGACCCGTTGGATATCGGGCGGGCACTTAGCGGGGGAAGATTCTGGGATTTGATTGAGATTTGAGATTGGTTCAAGGGCGCAACGAGGACGTTGCGATCCTAAGTGGGGGTGATTGTAACACTTGAGATTTAATATAAACGGATTAATAGTACTACTCATACCAACAAAGGTGCATCTCCTTTTAAGAGAGCTCATTACCTAAGAACTCCAAAGTTAAACGTGCTTGCTCGGGAATAGTCTTGGGATGGGTGACCCCCTGGGAAGTTTCTCAGGGCGCGCATGAGTGAGGACAAAGTGCGCGGTAAAGGCTCGTGGTGGTTTGTGAGGACAGTACTATTGGTCCGGAGTAACTACCTCGGGTCCTGCGGGGCCGGGGTGTTACAATCTGCTACTTATATAAATTTTGAGCACTAACCCCTGTGGTTTTAAAAGTACATCAAGTCCTCATTTGTTATAATTAATCATGCACATAATTAATTATTGAATAAAATAAAAATGTTTAATATATTTGTATAATTTACAGATCTAACAAACTTACTTGCATGTTTAATTATAAGACTAAGATACATGATTTTCCAGACTACTTTTTTTGTTACTTCAATATGTTATATGCATGACTAGTTAAAAGTATGACAAATTGATGCATTTTTCAAAGAATAAAAAACGGATGCATAAATTTTATATATCTGTTAAAGTATTTACCCCACATCAGAAAGCTATTAAAACAATCAAATACTATTTAAGGCTTTGTTTTGGACTACTCTGACCTTTTAGGATAAAACCTCAGGTCTTAACATGATATCAGAGCCAAGTTCGGTTATGATTTGACTGCTTGTTTAGCACCTATGATTAAGGGTATCTTGTTAAGGGTCTATTTGGCCCATCTATACACCCCGATATTGTCCACGCCGGTTCGATCTGAGGGTGTGTATTAAAGTATTTGTCCCACACTAAACCAAGTCTTAACAATATATTATAAGAGTTTGGCATATTGAATTATTTCATTTTAATATAGGCATAGTTTTTAGAAGATACAATTTACTTATAAGATGTTTAACTAAAAGTCGCATTCAATCATCAAAATGTATCTGAATACCACAAAAATTAGCATACAAATTTCAATAGATTAACAAGAAACTAAATTGAATTTATTTTAAAAAAGAAAAGAAATTAAATTGATTGTTCGAAGAGAGAAAATTCTCTAAATAAGTAGAATACTATTAATTTCATATTAAAAAATAGGACTCATATAGTCTTTTACTCATGAATTTTTTTACTCTTTTATTACTTTTACGCATAAATATATTTAATTATACTTTAGAACTTTTCCTGTGTACTACTCCTATTTTGAATAATGTTTTATCAAAGAATTACATACCCTTATATATTACTCGAATATAAAAGTTCGACATTTTTGCATGTGTCCGTTACGCGATGATATAATACGGACTACAGAGTAATAGATGATGCCATCACATAATTCAAACATGGACCTACTTCTTTTGGAGGGTCCCACATGATCGATTATCCACATGATTTATGTATTTTTATTTATCCTTCGTACTATTTTTGTTTCAATTTGCGTTATCAGTTTTATTCAAAACAAGTAATTAGTCCGAATTCCACCTCCAAAATCACTTCGGCCGATCAAATATTTCATGAAATAATGATGTGCTTTAACTTTGAAGTGATTTTGTGTTCTTTAATTGTCACATATATGTCCCGTATTGCCCATTTCAGTATTTGGCCGCTTATTATAATGATAGTGAAGCATTAAGTATACTATGGTCCGATTTCAAAAAATTGTTAATCTCTTTTCAAATTTAGTTATGAATTATCATAAAAGTTACAGATCAGAGTAAGTTATAAGAAGTTATCATAAAGCTAAAATTATTTTAATGCGAATATTTATAATAACAACATATACACAAGATACAAACAAATACTCAATTAATTAGACCTAACTTTAGTTTATCCGTTTCTGTTGACCTGAGTTAAGACCAACGCACATGTGTTGAATTTCTAGTGAAGGTCCCGCTATCACCAAAGACCAAACATAAATTTTGTGTTAATCTTTGCTCCTTATAGATCCATTTAAAACGGATGAAATTGAAATAATCCCTCCCTCCCTCATCAATTTTGACCAACTATATATTTTAATAGAAATTAATTTATTATGTAAAAATGATATGGATATGTTTTCAGAAAAGTATAAGATTTATGTTAAAAGTATTTTCAGAAAAGTATAAGATTTGTGTTAAAACTTGAAGTTCTATCTTAAAAGGTCAACCTGATAGGAGGAGTAACTCAGATCTTAATATAGCACTATATTATTTCACAATTTTCCTGTGTAGGACTTCAGTACCCTCCTCACGATCAGACACTCCGTCTGGATCATGCTGTAATTCATTTTTCATTGATTCGTCATTGTGTTTTTTTATAATCATCGCCATTTTTCATAGGAGCTCACACCATGATTATGGATCAACTTGACTCTGATATCATGTTAAAAGTTGAGGTTCCATCCTACAAGGTCAACCTCATAAGAGGAGTAACTCAGATCTTAATATAACACTATATTATTTCACAATTTTCCGGCATGGAAATCCAGCAACCTTCCTCACGATCACACTTCGTCTCTCTATAACTTTCATAATATTAAACTAATCAAAATCATGGTTCAAATGGCAAAACCTTAAGGGTGTGTTTGAGAGTTGGTGTTTGGGAGGGATGAGAAGACATGTGGGGGTTGATGACCCTCCTATTTGTGTTTGGGAGTTTAACAAATGTAGAGGAATAGTTTTGAAAGTTTTTGTGACCCTTCACAACCAGGGCCGACAAAAAAAATGTTCGGTGCTGAAGGAAAATTGTTCTCCATCTATAAATAGAATTAATCTACAAAAGATTACATAACTTGATTATCTTATAGTTTATGGGCTTTATCCTTATTTGGTTTCACCGCTTGTTGTTTTGTTTGGTTCAATGATAGTGCTTATCCTAGTGACTTTTACGGACCTACTGGACCAAAAGCTTCTTAAGCTCAACGAGAAGCTTCTCAAGCTCAAGCATTTACTTTTCTAGTCAGGATGTTTTTACTTGGACTGTAACTTGCTGGTTTGGTCTTGTCTTGCCTGATATGGTCTAGTCTGATCTGGTCTGGTCTGAACTGATTTGGTCTGGGAATGTTAGGTCTCTGTGTATGTTTATAACTATCCAAGTCTGGTCTGGGCTAGACTAGTCTGGCTGGTCTGGTCTGATCTCGTCTAGTCTGGAACTGAAAATATTCCAAGTAAAAACATCCTTATAGACCAACGTCTTGGAGCGAATGTGGGATCCGCTCAAGGCCCTACTGGTTTAGGTAAGTATCTAATGCCTTCTCCCATAGGAGAAGTGATTTTGGGAGGAGAAACTACGCGCTTTTGGGATTTCTTTTCCACACTCACCTGAAGCATTCCCTGGGCCCAATGCTTTTGAGTGTGAGAGAAGGGAGAAAAGTCTACACTACATTTACCTTCTTGGCTACTTCTATACATCTTAGAGCTCAACTCTCATATTTTATGTAGTAGAAAATAGGGACCCAATACTTCGTATGAAACATATATAGGGTCTAATTTAATGACTTAAGTCATTGAATTCTCGCATATTGCAATATTCGAATATTGCATGTACAACTATGCATATTACAAGTATTCATACATTGCTTTCGTGCGAATAGTCGTTGTAAGTTTCATAACCAATGAGAATAATAGATATTCTCAAATATTAGAATCATTATAGAATTTCACCCAATGTTTCATTAAGATGCATGAAAAAACTAATTAAATATATGTAATACTAATTACTAAGTGCTATAATTTCCAAAAGTCTAATTAAGCATTTACAACATCAATGGTAATAACATTTTCTAAAAGTCTAATTAAAGGTTTGCATTATCAATGGAAACACTTCCACAAAGGAATGAATTGACCTTTTTGACCGCTAGAGTCATTAGTTGATTAACACTCTTAATGGATTCTGGAGGTAATTGTGTAGTAGGATCCGGATCAACTAAAATCTGGGATGAGATTGTCAAAAGAGACCCACTAGAGGTATCTCCTAGTTCTCCATCAGGTAGTATAACGATTCCACAAGGAAGAAGTGATACAAATTTAGGATTTCCACCCATAAAAATGCCTTTCATTTTCGTCATGTCAACTGAAGAGTGAATGATAAAGGAACCTGTGGAGTTGGTGGTACTTTCTTGCAATATCATTGTGTTACCCTGAGAGCAATTCTCACCCTGCAATAGTTTGTAAAAAGATTTCCTTTAGTCACTGGAATCTCTAATTCTCTATCATAGTAGTAAAATTGAATAAAAGAAAACAAATATACTATTTTCATACAATTATTAAATCCACTTTGAATATTACATATTTTCAAGTTAGTGTTATTTTGCATTTTAGTTTTTATTTATGCTCACAAATCAGGGATATCTTTTGTAAATAAAAACCTGTCTTTTATGGATCTTAATTTGGGATTTACATGTATACAAGAAATGTGAGAATTAAATCACACAAGTAGAAATAAGCTTTTTTGTTGTGTCATACTATGTATAATGAGACACTATTGCCGATTTCCCTGCCATATCTCATGCTGGTTATTTCTGCCATGTAGCCTCCACCGGAAAACATGTCCCACTATAGTTGAAAAAAAGAATAAAAAAGTTAGTGCACAAAGTATTTAAAATAGAAATTTATAAATAATTTATTCCAATAATTTAATGTGACTTATTATTTAGTCAGATAATTTTACTCACTTGCACAGTATGTCTTGTAACTAATAGATCAATTTGATAAAATACCAAGGACATGTTCATAGACAAAAAATAACATAAAATCTCTAATATATTAGAGATCAAGTCCATCATTTTTTTTGACGATTCTTTTACGTTTCAGCATAAGAGTTCATTGGCCAAATTTATTAGTTAGGTGAAATAATAATTAAACTTAAAGGACTAGAAACAAGTATCACTCTAAATTACAAAATTAAGAATATTTTTAATTGGACTGAAATTTTATGATGTGGTTTGATTCGGTAGATAACTAGTGTATGTGTATTTTTCAACTGTCGAAGTCTGGTATGATCTGTTTAGGTCTGACATAGTCTCTTCTAGTCCTGTTAAGTCAGATCTGATCTTATCTTATCTGATTTGACATTGAAATAAGTTCAAGTAAAAACATCCTATATTATGGCATTTTCTCAAAATTCTATATATCTATTTGCTGAGTACCATAAATCGCATGTTAAATTAATTTATACATGCAATCTAAAGTTAGTTGCACATTGTCTAGCAACATGCTATTAGCTACATGATATCCCCAATGATATTATTGCACTACATATTAGAACTATATTTAAACAAATTTAATTATAAATGCAATCTAAAATTATTCTATGAATACCGGCGCATCCGTCATTCGTAATAATACTACACTGATCACATATATCTAAGATGTAGTGTAGAATAAACAACAACATATATTATAAGTAGGGAGCACTTGGGATCCATTTTTAAAGTGTTTCATATCATAATATAAGTAATTTTAACTACTATATAAACAAATTAAAAGTCGTAACATAACTATATCTTTTAATACCTTGATCATATATGTACAAAATATTATATATAATGCCAATTTTCTAAATTTATATTCAGCAAACAAGAATGTTTGCGTGCACATAAACGGTTTTGGAAGTATTACTTGTACGCAATTTATTCTCATTTACTAATCATATTTACAACGACAAAGTTAATTATAGTAAAGAAGTTATTTCTAGTAAATTGCGAATAATGTATACTTAGCTTGTGGTATGGCCTATAAACTAAATTGTGTTGAAAAATAAATATTTGAAGTAGAGGAGAGAGTGAATACCTGAAGTCGGTTACGTTCCTCGCAAAGGAAATCAAATGCATTTTTTGGTTTCAAAGGAAGCCAAAAAGATGTTGCTGCACATAAGATAGTTCCAGAAGGTGTCCTGGGATCATTAATGTTTTTCCTTATCATGACTCTCACATCATTAACACCAACACCAGTCCCGGATATGACTTTCCATGGATGAACTATGGAACCACTAACCGCATTCATATAGCCATTAACCATTCTCTCTGCAAGTTTAAATATGCTCCTTTTCCCCTCTGGATTAATTACCGCTGTAAATCACATGGAAAGTAATATAATATCATGCATATAATTTAATTCTAGTAATTGAGTAAGGGGATTTCACTGAGACCAAACATGGATTGTATACAACATAAATTATAAAATGAATGAAAAATAAATGTTCTTTAAAAAAATACTCATTCAAAATAGAAAAGATTTAATTTCCAATAAAATATATTTAATAAATTGTTCAAAAAATGAGTAAAACGTGAACATTTAGTTAATTTATAGAAGTAATTATGTTGTTCCTAACCAGTACTTATTAACTTCTAATAGAAGAATTAAAAGAATAAAAACAATAAAAACTTATCTTTTAAGAGTAAATGCATTCTAATTTGAGATACGATGAAGGTAATGGGATTCCATTTTGAGAAAATTTGCTACAAACTCATAATGTTTAAGGAATTAAATTCAAAGGCTTGTCTTCAACGCCTTTCACCAATTAAGAGAGCGAAGATGGCTAAAAGATATGCGATTAAAAATATTTTTAATTAGACTGAAGTTTTCTAATCTGGTCTGGGTTGGTCTTGTTTGTTTTAATCTGTTAAAGATCTAGTGTAGTATTTTATTATTCTCTTAGTTTGATCTAATTTGTTCTGATATGATTCAATCTTGTCTAGAACTATAAAACCATTCAAATTAAAAACATCCTAAGGGAGAGTACATGTAGAAACGTAACAAGCTAATTCATGTGTTCATGAATTATAATGCATATTTTGTGTTGATAAGTTCATTTTGTATTCATGTGTACTATAACTCACATGTGTACGTATGCTTTAAAGGTATCATTTGCAAGCACCATGCTCAATTTACCATGCTAAAATCCCAATTAAACCGTGAGATTTAGATGAGAGGGAGTATCAGGTATGGTTTTGAATAAAGACCAATCAGATTATGTTACCTAGATTAGTAGGAGGGGGCATGTTTAAGGACATCATGCAAGCAATACGTTCGCAATGGCAATCCAATATCTCAATCCAGCGCTTTGCCCCAAATGCCATACCAGAGCAAAGTAGACGTTTGTAAATATTGACAGCTTCATTGCCCCCATGTGCCTCCATATGCTCAACCCATGTGACCTATTACATATATAAAGATACTATTTAAGATTCATACGACTATAAATGGACAAGAGACGGAATATCTTTCAATACTTCACATGTTTGTAAAAATGTACTATACACATATTATTACTATAACCACATATCTTTACATGACTAAACCTCTCGGTTAACAAAAGTTTAATGTATTTAATTTGGTTATTAATAAAATAACATGGAACACATTAAAAAACATAAGTAAAACATAATAAATTTTCTCAAACAAGACTACAAAGGTATCATATTTTTATTCCCAAAATGGGATTTATGCATTCCTATATATATTTAGGGATATTTTTATTCTTTTATTTTTTAATATGATCATTATATGAGTCTTAGTTTGAATATATATATATATATATATATATATATATATATATATAGAGAGAGAGAGAGAGAGAGGAATATCCCCTCATCAGGTAGTTCTCATGGGGAACCCGTCCAAACTTGCCTACCAGAAGGCCTTCCCGATGGAATTTTTTTATAAATTTGTTTGAGCATGTTTTTAATGAAGTCTAGTTTATCCACAAAAAATTTCAGCTAAACATTTAATCAGAAAGACAGTCAAATAAATTTTGGAAGTTAACTGTGCCAAAATATACATATAAGAATGCAATTATCTTTCAAAAAATGATTGACTTCCTTCCCTATTGAATTTTTAGCTGAACATTTTTGTGGATAAACAAGACTTCATTAAGAACATGCTCAAAAAAATTCATTAAAAACTTCCTCTGGTAAGGCCCTCTTATAGGCACGTTTGTATGGGCCTACATGTCAGAACTACCCGACGTGCGTGAAAACGTGAGAACTCTCACATTTAAATCAAAGTCATGACCAATGGAGCTCTTTTGTTGCTCATTTTTAACTTTGCTCAAATTAAGCCAATTTTAAATAATACGGTGACATTTTGGTAAAAATTATGACAACTTGAAAAAAAGTGCAGTAGGCGAGCTTCTGTGTGCATCACGTTGAGGGTAAATGGGTTGTTCTCACGTTCTAACGTTAAGTCCTATTCTTAATTGATATAGAATATATATATACGCAGAAATACACACGTACACACACATGAATGTTATTATTACTTCCATACCTTTGTATGGCCGTTTAGAGTCTCTTGAAAGAGGCAACCAGATGGCCGCCTCGAGCTTCTTCCCACAGGCGTCATACCCAAACGTCTATCTATGGAAACGTCCACAATTCCCCACGTTCCATTCGAGCAATTCTTCTTGCAATACCTCAAAAAGTAATGGCTTTCTGGCGTAACTTGTGGTGTTGAAACATGAAAATCAGCACTTATCTGTAATTTCATTAAACACAAAAATAATGCTACCAAAATTTTGCAACACATAAAGTTCTAAGTGTTGCTTTGTGTATGTGTAGTTTGCAAATAGCCACTATTTTAGGAGGTACAAAATATTTATCTAAATTTTGTAATAAATTACTCTAGCATCTAACTGTACTTGTATAAAATTCAATTAATTCAATTATTTCATTCGTATACATAACATTTATGTGTTTAATGATGGAACGTACCACTTGTAAAGCTCCGTCGTGGGTCCCTGCCACTCCAATTGACAGAAAATCTTCCCTCACACCCTTTGAGACAATGCTAGAGAACACACTTGCCCAATCGCTCTAGTGATGAACAGTACATAAATTAATTGATAAATAATTTATTTTCTACCTATGATCTAATTTGTTTTTAGAAGAAGCTTACTAGCTACTAGTAGTATTTAATAAGGAATAACTATTAACCTTTCAAATATTGTGGGATTAACATAAAGTCTACAAATGAAAACATTTTTTACATGCTTATTATTGCCCTTTAAATACAATCATACAATCATGTCTTAGAACATCTTCATTCATTCTGTCTTGAAATCATGTATAATGATAATTATTTTAATTTATCGCCACATATATTTTTTCAAGAATAATCTCAATCCATCTAGAATTCCTTAATTCAATCATCATCTCAAATCTTTCTGTGGGTCCTGTAGAGCTAGTTATTAGCTCTAATTTCACAAATAATTTGGATTCATATTTTATTCCAAATTATTCAACGTGAATAATCCTACTAAATAATCTCTCACCCAACCACGCATGCTCCCCACAATGAATAAAGGAGTGTTTGCAGTTGATTAAAAAAGCACTTTTCAGCTTTTGGCTTTAAAAAAGTTAAAAAGAGTGTTTTCAAATGACAGCTTCTGCTTAAATTAATCACTTAAAAGCTAAAAGCTGGAAGCAAGTGGAAGGGTGTTTTAAACTGCTTTTCACTTTTTCTATTACATAAAAAGTACTTATTTTACCAAACACTACCAACTTTTACTTTTTCAAAATCACTTTTTTTCTCAAACACTACCAACTTTTACTATTAATCATTTTTCTCCAAATCACTTTAAAAATTACTTTTTTAAAGTTGAAGCAATTGCAAACACTCCCTAAATCACATGAATGAGGATACCCTTAAACACCACTATTTAATCATGGGAGATTTACCTAAATGAGACTAAATACATCTTTTATTGTCAAACTAGGACTAAACTTTAAAAATTCCCTAAATAAGAGTTATTATTTGTATCTGGACAAAAACAACCCTGAAACTTGGAGAGCATACTGCCCCTGACAGAACCCAAGCCGCACACAGTCGCAGGTCATCGCCAGTTTCCAGACGCCGTCCGCCGCCGCCGCCTCAGAACTGGACGCCGCCGCTACAGATCTTGGCGCTGTCGATACAAATCTAGCCGTTGCCGGGGACAGATCTGGCCGTTGCCGTCGTAGATCTGACCAGATCTGGCCACCGACATTGCAAATCTGACTGCCGCCGTTAGATGTCCTGCCGCCACTACTGCAGATCTGGCTAACCTCACCGCTAATGCCAACAAAATTTTTAGAATGCCAAAAAAGTTTAAGAATGCCATTTTAATGGCATTTTCGAAAGAAATTATGAAAAATTTTGATGTTGAAGAATGCCATTTTGTTGGCATTTTCAGGTAAAATTTGGCAATTTGAACCACCAAAGAAGAAATAGAGCATACATGCGATGAAACATAAGTGGGGAAGAGAGAAACACATAAGAGGAGGAAGAAGGAGGGAAGATACTCCGACTTTTAGATTTCGACTTGCTACTCACTCCCCCTTGCTTGGATCTGCCCACCTCTGTTGTTCGCTACTGCTCGCCGGGAAACTCACTATTGCAGCCTGCAGGTTCTCAATCGATCGGAGAAGATGAGCGGAGAAATAAACACATCTAGCTACCTAAGATATGAGCAAATTGGAGAAGAGTAGTTGGTGTGGGAGAAGAAATTTGGAATGAAGAGGAATAGATTTGCAGAGAACTGAAGCTCATTTGGGGAGAAGAGATATTGGTGTCTGGAGAATGGAAGTTGATATGCGTAGGTAGAGCCGTAGAGGGGAAGCTGATTCGCGTAGAAGAGGTAGCCGATTCGCGTAGGGGAGGGTAAAATTGGAATAATAATCTCATTTAGGGAATAAAATTATAGCTACTCCTATTTGAGAATTTCAGCAACAATTTAGTCCTATTTAGGACAATAACTCTTTAATCATTCTCAGTCATAATACATACTCCGGATCTTTGTCTAAATAAGTAAGCCTAAAACATACAGAGCACTACATAATTTATATTTTTCTTGTTCCTCTAAATAAGGTCCATCCAATAGTACAAGAGTATTTTTCAATTTTTTTTTCTTTATTATAAACTAAATGAGTAAGATAAAATATGAATAGCGGGATGTACTTTTATCTAAATAATCGAAGGGAGAAATAGCAATTACTCCCTTGAAGAAATGGAGGAGTGTTTACTTTGTATATAAAGAAATGTTATTCATTAAAAGGTTGACTTTGAATGCAATAATTTTAATGAGTAAACTAGACTTAATAAAGAAGATGTTCAAAAAATTTCATCAACTTTTTTTACCGGGAACTGCCCTTATTGGCAACGGCCGGACAGAGTCTCCTATATAAGAGGTGAATGCACTTTTTAAGTTAGTTCGAGGGTCTATTTGATGTTTAACCTTATAAATAACATACCACATTTAAGAAAATCTGGAGCAACCTGCTAAGCCTCATCCTCACAATGGCACTTCCACACGAAGCCTGAGCCTTATAATTATTAGACCCAGGGGACGGCTGCAGCTGGTTTGGGGCAGAAAGTACAAATCTTGAAGCATATTCTGCTTCGTCTAGCTGCAGCACTCTAGACGAGGAGGGATCAACCACCCAAAGTGGCTCTACCAGCTGGGCCATCTCTACCAACTCGTCCATAGCACTCATCGCCATGTCCACCACCAACTGCCGTCTCTCCCGGAAAGTCTGGGACACGACGGCGGCTGTGTGTCCATCGGGCGCATCCCGTGCAGCACTCGTGCTCCCCGAGTGCGAATCACGTGCCGGCAGCTGGGGCCTCGGCATCGCCGCCCCCGAACTACTGGGGTTTCCGCACAAGTAAGCCGGGGGCGGCATTCTACTGGGTCTGGCGCCTGCAGCACTAGTGCACCCATAGCGGTAAGCAGGGACCGGAGGCGGGGGCATTAACATCCCCGCCCCCGTAGAACTACCGATGGCCGGGTTGCCCTGCCCCGGCCTACATCCAATCACGCTTCCGGAGCTCTGCGGCAAAGATGGAAATCTATCGTGACTGTTTATTATTTGCACGCCACCGAGAGGGGATGGAGGCGGAGCAAGTTCTGAAGTAGAAGGGCGGGCCGGGTTGCGGGGAGGGGGGAGGTTCATGCCGCCGCCGCGGTGGCATTGAAAGTTAGCGGCGTCATCTTCACCAAGAAAGGAGAATATGAACGTTGCGTCAAAGACTTGGCAGCCACATTTTCGACAGCAAACTTGAGCCAAACCGTTTTCGTATTTCAACAATTTTATCCGAAGCTTCTCGTTCTCAAGTCGAAGTTGTGCATTATCTTCGCGTTCATTTTGAGCCTACACCAAATTGATAAATACTGTATCAGTTCGTGCAGTGGAATATAATGACAAAAATATAGTCAAATATATACTATAGGAATAGTGTATAAATTCCATTACAATTCTCACAGTATGAAGGATAGTATATACGTCGTAATCCTAATACTATCTATATACTATACCTTGACTTGGTTACGCTTGTTCTGGAACCAAAACTTGATTTGTGATTGGTCCAACCCCACTAAACGACCTAACTCTTTTCTTTGTTCTTCATCTGGGTTCGGGCACGTCTTAAAAACCCTAAACAATATATAAACAATTAATTAAAACTAATTAAACTGCAATTATGGAGTAGTATATACATAGTATAACTACAAAAAAACAACGATTTTGGCACGGATTTGGCACAGAGCGTTTGCATGGATTTGCCAAAATCCGTAGGGTATTTGTCATGGATTTGGCACGGATGCATGCCTTGAATCCGTGCCAAATTCCGTGCCAAATAGTAATTATTTAAAAACGAAATATATCAAGTATTTAATTTATTATTATGATTCCATGTGATTGATCTGCTGGGTGGTATGGCGGTGTGAGCGTTTCCTCTTCCCTTGATTGGTTTGTTCGTCATTCCCACCGGTGTTGATGGCGGCGGCTCTCGGTGGCTGCGGAATCACTGGTTCGGATGCATTTAAAAGCACCTCCAATGACTGCTCCCCACCACCAAAATTGCTATTTGGCTGAAAAATAAAAAATAGACTTTGTTACCTTATCTTTTTATCGTGTTCATTGGGTAAAAAAAAAGATGCACAAATTAAATAAATTGGTTCGAATAAATTCCGGTCTGATATGGTACTCGATTTCCACTTTGATTTAAAAACAATATTCCTTATTACGCCGTATATGGAATAGCTGTTAAGTAAACAAATAAGTATTTTATTGCTGTTAAGTAAACAAATAAGTATGTCAAACTAATTTTAATTTTTTGAATTTGTGCCTAAATTTATCACTGATCCATCAAATTTAATTTTTCACGTGTTCATCGCTATATTTATTTGAAGTATTATGATGATACGTACACTATGTAACATAGAAACCATCGGGAAAGAGTATGTTTCTATATAGGAAACTACTCCTTCCGTCCCGAAAACAACTTCCCATTTTCCTTAAATGGATGTCCCAAAATTAACTTCACACTTCAATACTTTCCTTATTTGGCAAATTATCTACATAAAAAAGTGATAAACAGTGCCCCAAACACTGTTTAAACAGTGTCAAACAGTGTTTGAACAGTGCAAAACAGTGCATTCTACAGTAAAGTCAAATTTATTTCCTAAAAGTGTGTGAAAGTCCAACCGGGAAGTTGTTTTCGGGACGGAGGGAGTATAAAAAAAAGAGTATTTTTGAGCACGTTGTTCGTTTTCTGTTTCTTTATAATTTTTGCGATTCCGTGCAAATAAGTGGATGGAGCTTAATTGATTGATTCCTGACCTGAACACCAAAATCATCGCACAACGGAAATAAATGTTGACTACCATAGCGGCTTTCTGTCATTTGCAGTTGACTTGTTGTTGCTTGCTCTCCTTCGGCTCCTATATCCATATTTGACAGCCCCTAAATAGTAGTAGTAGTACAATGTTGTTTAGTTTAAGAGGGTGTTTGGAGCACCCAAAATGGGCTGAAAAGCCTGAAAGTATGAAAAAAATCACCAAACACTTCATGATTTGGCTATTTGAGCTGAATTTTTTGATCAGCCGAAAAAGCAACTATATGGCTACTTTTTGAGCTGATTTTTATTATTGTACTATTTGAGATTGAAAAGGCCCTTTTAGCCTTTTATATTGAAGAAATACGTGTTCGTTGTTTTGGACGAACGAAAGCCCCTCGCTTGGGAGCTCCAGATCAATTGCTTCTTATTCAAGGAGTGCTCCATATACTTTACTATTTTGGACTTTAGCAAAATAAAATTCAAACAAACCCCACTCCGTATGTTTTGTTTCATTTTATTTTAATTTATTCAAGTGCATGTGAGTTTTTTATACTCCGTATACTTTATAGAAAGGGTATTTTTTATAATTAATTTACTCATATTGTTAACAAAAAAGTTATAATGACGTTTATTCGAAAAAATTGTGTAAAAAGTCAATCTAATAAATTAATTAAGCATTCTTATAATCACCTAATCAAGCAAAATTAATTCACACTCATATATTTAACACAAGTAAGTTAATACCCTTTAAAGTAATTTTACATTCAATCAGTCATTTCAGCCAACATATTACCAAACACTTTTACTTCAGCATATTCAGTCTTTTCAGCCTATTCAGCTGTTGCAGCCGTTACCAAACAGGCCCTAAGTTGTAAGCTATACTATGAAATTAGAAAAAATTAGATTTTGGGTGTTTCGTTAATTTCAGAATCATTTCTACTTGCTCCAAATATTACTCCGGCCCGCCGCCAATGATTGTCACATTCCAGCTTTTCGATTCATATCAAATTTAGTAAAATTTGTGCGGCTCTAAATTATTTTTTTATTCTTATTTTATCAATTCAATATCAACCACATAAATCTTTTTTTATTGATTTGCGTGTCACTCTAATCCCTCATGTCCCATTGTTTTTTTACCCCAGGGGGTCTGGGGAGGGAGGCTGGAAGGAGCCTGGAGTAATCAGAGCTGAAACCCTTAGGTGCGTGCCTAGCGGGTTTCGAACTCGAGACCTCCCACTAGGCATGATAACCTCACAACCAGCTGGGCTAAAATTAAACCGTATAATTAACCAACTTAATTAAACCAGCTGGGCATGATAATTAAACCGTATAATTAAACCAACTTTATTATACTCCCTTTGTAACCCTTATGTTGTTACCTTACTGTCACATAAATGAATAAAAGTGCTTTATGTGGTTGATATTGAATTGATAAAGTAAGAATAAATCAAAATGATTTAGAGCCACACAAACATTACCAAATAATTGATGAGACAATCTTATTGGGACGGCCCGAAAATGTAAATGAAATAATCCGAGATGGATGTAGTACTTTTTTCATATAGTAGGAGCAATGTCAAGCGAAATTTTTGTCAGAGTAATTTTCGTCACTATATTTCTAAATAAAATTTATTTTTGTACTATTTTAGGAAGTATATCATTTCAAACAGTAAGATTGTCATATTAACTTTTCTTGGTCAATGATGATAAACTTTGGACAATGATTTTGATTATTATATTTGTATATAATTTATAAATTTTATACTTTTATGAAAATATTTTGAATAAAAATCATTTTGATTTAATTTTCATATTCAAAATAACTTCGTATTAACAAATATCATTGATCAAAGTTGATTGTCATTGACCAAGAAAAGTAAATTTAGCGAACCTTTTCGGGATAAAGAGAGGAAATATATCATTTTAAACAATTGTGCAATCACCATTACATATAAAGTACTCTCTTTGTTATGTTAAGTTTGTCTCATTTTACATTGTCTCATACCAAATTTGGTAAAGTTTGTGTGATTCAAAATCATTCTTAATTACTTTATTCTTCTTTTATCAATTCAATATCAATCACATAAATCAATTTTTATTGATTTCCGTGTCACTCCTAGTTCCAAAGGAGACATGTGCTTTTATAGCATTGCATTGTTAATGGATGGATCTCCTGATCTCCATCTCCATATATCATACGTATACAATCAATGCTTTAAGCGATCGCATTTTACTTCCAGTTTCTGAACGTGAACTATTTTCTCCATATAGTCAAAGTTGTTGATGTTCGAAAAGAAAACAATTTAATAAAGGGAAAATGGAAACTAATAATCCAACCTTTTAGCGGTCTTCTTTAAATAATCCCACCTTTTGATTATTCATGAATAATCCAACCTTCGCACCCCATCTTCATTCGTTGGTCCCTGATCGATTAATGACCTGTTATTCCAAGTTATTTTCTTATCTTTGCAAAATATTATCTTTGTGAAAGATGAGATTTATGGTATAATGATTTGCAAAGATAAGAAAATAATTTGGAATTGCAGGTCATCAACCGGTCAGGGACTAGTGAATGAAGATGAGATGCAAAGGTTGGATTATTCATGAATAATCAAAAAGTGGGATTATCGAAAGAAGAGCGCTAAAAGGTTGGATTATTAATTTCCATTTTCCCTTTAATAAAGGGATAGAATGTTTTGCCAAAAAGTCTTATCCGGTGTAATAGAAAAAAAAAAAGCAATTAGAAATATCTCTCTAGCTATTTTAGTAGTTTGCCTTGTGGGATAAAAAACATCTCTCTAGCTATTTTTTTAACTTATAGCTTCAAACTACGTACTTTAAATAGAAATACATGTTTGAAAATGTTGCATTTAGTTTCTTAAAGCAAAAAAATTGAAATCGCTTTTTTGAATTATATATTTATTGCAAACACTCTCTTAAACATGGAATTGACATTCAATCTCTTTCGAATACGGGCTCAAACACTAAGGGCCTGTTTACTAACAGAAATATTTTCCAGTTTTCCAGAAAACTGGAAAACTGGAAAACAGAAAACAGGAAACGTGTTTACCAAAGAAATTCCTGGAAAACTGGAGAAAGGAAAAAAGAAAAACGCGTTTACCAAATCGTTTTCCAAAACGGAAAAAATGAGACATGTCTCTCTTTTCCTTAATAATTTGGAGAAGTGACTTTTATTAGTTTTCCAAATTTGGAAAACGCAGATGCTACAGTGCCGCTGCAATGAATTTGCATACTTACACCTAGTGGTGGGTCCGGTCCCGCTCCGATGTCGATTCCATTTCGGTACCTCCATCCTCGTACCTTACCCCTTACCCCTACCCTACCCTACTCACCCAACCCTACCCACCCAACACCACCCAGCATACCCATTTTCCCTATAATGACCCTACCCCACCCCGATCCACCCTACCCTACTGCCACCCCCCTACCACCCCGACCCCACCCCGACCCACCCTACCCTACCACCACCCGTATATTACCCCTTACCACATGCCCCTACCTCGGCCCCACCCCACCGCCATCCTACCCCCACCCTCGTACCGCCATCCTACCCCCACCCTTCCGCCATCCTACAACCATCCTACCCCCCACCCTACCCTTCCCCTACCTCGGCCCCACCCTGACCCACCCTACCCTACCCC